GATTAAAGCTCTACATTCTCCGTGTTGAAAAAAGCAATGCGTTGGCACGCATTTAGTTAATATTAATAACCTGACAGAACGCATTTAAATTAAATGCTAATATTGAATTGTATAAAGTTTTAAAATATATCAAAGGAATTTTTCTGGCCTGTAAGGGAACTTTAGTTTTTTAATACTATGCGGCTCCAAATTTCTTCTTGAGTAGTCAGTCACATTCTCCTTTCGTTCCGTTCCACACACGCACAAATAATTTTGTCTTTGCATATTCATCAGAAAAAAGACAAAAGGGAAGATTTGGCTTACAATAGCATGTGTCTGTTATTTGTTTCCTTCGTTGAACGCTTTTGTGTAGAGAATATACAGAGAATATATTATAGAGAAAGAGAATCAAATGTTCTTCTTTACAACCATTTTTAACTTTGACGTATCTCGGTTTTTCTCTTCACAGCTTCAAATCATCGTTCAAAAGAAGATTTTTTTAGCCAGTAAGTAAAGGATTATTTAGAGTATGAGATTCGGTTTGAAAACCAGACTTTGAGAAGAAATTTGAAAATCTATATGAGTTTTTCTCGTTTTCTCATAGTATTCTAGATGAGTGATTGTATAATCATTCCATTCATGAGGATATGTTCCTTTATTCTTCTTTCTCTTCTGTAATTCCTCAAGGAGCTTATTCATACTGTTGTCTATAAATTTTAAAAACCCTAAGGAAATACCGACATATTACGCCACCAACGGAAAGATGATCAATCCTTTGATGACATGGATCAATGAAAAGACCTGTAGATATGTATATTATAAATAATAAGGATGTCAAGTTATCTTTACGTCTCAAGTAATGGTAACTACTAATTAACGTACTACAGATATGCTTTGAAGCATATAAGAGTGTTAAGTGGTCGTTAGCTTCTCAAATAGCTAGCTATTATCAAGTTATTGTTACTCTTGTAACAGTAACTACTGAGTTACCGATTACAAAAGAAACTAGTAACTGTCGTTACTTTTAATTACTGTTAAAGTTCCCCTTGAATTCTTTCATTGTTGCTTTCAACTTAGTTTCGGTTTCTTCCGAGTTACTTTTTAAAGTAACTCGAAAGTGACTGAAAATAGCGGTAGATACCAGTTACTTTTGCACTGTTCACTTTCCCACTCATTTAGTTACTTTACCGTTATTAGCAACTAACCGTAATGGCGCCTGTGATATCCCACATGGGTAACTGCCGATACAGACAAAATACAAAAAGATATGAATGTGCTTAGATACAACAAAAAAAAGGACAGACATATCTGTATCTGTATATTCGGAGACATAAAGTGATTGTTCCTAATATGAGCTGTAAATGGCGTCTGCACAGTAATTTCAATATCCTGACGTTATTCTTGGACTTTTCTCTAAAATTCTTCCACTATTCCATAGCTGAGACTCTTAGGAACCGAATGAAAAACCGAGTTTTCAATTTATCATTCGACACGGTGAGGATCGTGCCCGTATAATACACTCCACTGCATTTATGTTGTTATTAGGTACCGTACTTATTAAGAACAGACACACATAATATATGTTGCTAATAGTAACACTTCCATTCAAACATACGTGCTTTTATACGAACGGAGAAAATGGGCTTTTTTGCTATCTGACCTAGAAAATTTTGGGATACTCCCGAGATAACTTATTCAGAATGGTGAACCGAACCATGTGCGTTTTTTTTTAAAACACTTGCACCTTTCAGTAGATACGCAAACTGTAAAAACCCCTCTCTTTTGTTCTTATTAAGTACCATATTGATTAAGAACATTTTGCTTGTTCTGTGTACTTAATAGGAACACTCTCATTGAAATATACGCGTTTTTAGGGAGCTTTTACAAAAGAAGTTCTGCTAGCAGTAGCATGAAGTCTACTATCAGAACTTCTTTTGCAAAAGCTCCCGTTTCGAATGGAAGTGTTGCTATTAGGAACATATATTACGTCTGTCTGTTCTTAATAAGTACGGTACCTAATAACAACATAAATGCAGCGGAGTGTATTATACAGGCACGTGTCGTATTATACAGGCTACCGTGTCGAATGATAAATTGAAAATGCTTTTTTTCATACGGTTCCTAAGAGTCTCAGCTATGCAATAGTGAAAGAATTTTAGACATTTTTTTTCACTTTTTGAATGGTTCTAGTCTCTGTAGTCTATAGTGCTATGTCTTATTTGTGAAAGATTAAAATGATTCATAAAAAACGAAAAAATGCAGCTCAGACCTTAATTATTTCAGTCTGTATGAGAAGAATAATTAGTTCAACCTGAAGAACGAGTGAGGAAAGTAACCCGAAGTGTAAGAAAAAAGTCGAGGACAACCGCATCTGTCTGTATATTGTTTTATCAACTTTTTCGCCACTTTATGTTTAAAAGAAATACTGCTAGAATAAAACGATGAATGAGAACGATGATGAACAAATTTTTCTCTATTATTCACGCAGTGAAAGAGAGAGCGAGAACAGAAGGATATATGTCATGTATATTTGAAACGAGATACCCACTTATTTGTTTCGTTTCTATTTAGTTTCTTTCACGAGTTTAATTTACTCATTGTAGAAACAGTAGAAAAGGAAAAAAACATTACAAAATAGCCTAAAAAGTTTCGCATGTTAACCGTAATGGAAGCAAATGACCGCTTACATTGAAGACCGAAATATAGGAAAACACATAAGAAAGCAGAAGAAAATAAAAATGTTCCAATTAGGAGTTGTACTATTAAAAAATATAGTAACAACCATATAAAGCATAACAAAAACGTTTTTTCTACCTCTACAAAATATTGAAAATGTGTAGAAAAACCAGCAATGTCGGTGAGTGCTGTTAACTCTTTTACAACAATAAATATTGATAATTAAATATCTGTTTTTTTTTGAGAGATAGCTGTTTACGATACTACTGCGTTTACTAAAAATTATAAGAAATAATTGTTGCTAAATACTAATTAAAAGGCGATACTTATTATCAAAAAGAGTTTCTGACAGATCATCGGAACAGCTTGATTAGGCTATTATGATCTCATAATAGTGCAACAAATGTTTTTCAGAATCAAATGTTTTTCTCCATATGCGATACAGTTAACGCAGGTAATTTTAAACTTTGAAATTCTGTGAAATGCGTTTTCGTAACACTTGTTTAAAGAAAGACCCTTTTTTGTTTGTCGCTCGAAAATAGTCTTGGGTGAGTAGGTCATTGATCTTCTCAACACCTTGCAACGAAAACGTGTTCAGATCCATCCATCGACCATAGAATTCCGGTAGATGAGAAGCCAGGACGTGTATGTATGGTGTTACCATTTCGTAGCCAAACAGATCGATGAAATCTTGACCCCATTTATCACAATGGATTGTCAAGGCACGCTGGTAAAATGCTCGACTGTTGGTTCGTTTTACCATTTGTAGAATGCTGAAAAAATCTCTTATTAATTTCATCAGTTTTCTTGCTTTTGGTACATCTTGACATATTTCTTCTAATGGCATCGTCTGTGTGTATTTTTCGTGCATATCTCCGCTCATGGAACTGCTGACTCTCAATAATTGGTTGCCCTGATTTCGAGAAAAAATAACAAGATATGTTCTGCAAAGAACATGTTCATTTCTTATAAATATGTCGGTAGTCTTTCGTCCCATCCCCACACTGACTGGCTTCTACTAATTTCGGTGTTCGTTCCGACCATCGATCGTTTGTTCCTGAATGAGATTAATGAACTGTTTCATCCAGGCCTGCCCAGCATTGATCGAATGTGTCGTTTAAAAAATTCAAACTATTTTTCAGACGTAACAGAAGCCCTCGGGCTTCTAATACACCTTCCACATCGATTTTGCCAGAGGAGGCTTCTAATACGGGGGCTTCTATTATGGAGGGGGGGGGGGTTACGTTTGTGATCCTCGCGAAGGAGCTAAACATAGTCCATCGCCCTTCTCTGATACCGAAGTAGATGATTTCATTTATGCAGCTCATTTGCAGTATCCGTTAATGTATTTTGACAACCGAAATCAAATCAGTGAATTTTTGATTGCAACTTGACGTGGTACATAAATATGCTGATCGTATTTATTCTAAGAAAACTCTACTATTACACTACTTCACATAAAGTTCATCATACATTAAACTGACACAAAGTTTTCTTTCTCATCATCTTTATTCCACTTCATCATAGATTTTTGGTCAAGATTGGAGTTTGAAAGCGAGATAAACTTGAGGTTTAGTAATAGACACAAGCAGAGTTTATGACTTTTTTTAAAATTCAAATAGATCATAACTGATCGCTGACATCGAAATCTATCTTGTTCCGAGAGAAAAATGCTGTATTTTTCTTTTTTTTTATTCTGACTTCGGATATTATATTTTTATTGCTCAAAAGTTGAGTTATATCGGAGAAAATTGAGAATACGAACAGAATTCTGACTTTTTGTCTCTGATTTGGAAGAAATGATTTTTCTCAGCGAGGAAGCAAGATTTTTCGAAAGGGATACGTAACTTTGTTCGCCGTATGTAAGTAATTCATTGTGTATATATATTAAGCGATGTAAATCATCTGTACTTTTGAATGTGCTATCAATGCCATATGCATTTGAAATGAATGGAGAAGGTTTAGAAGAATTATCCTCCGACACAAATGACTGTCCTATATGTAAATTTAAGGAGACTTCGGAAACTTTTTAAATTTCTCCTAAACTAAAGTTAAATTACAAAATCCAACGACGTCACAACATAGAAAAGACATTTCTCTATTTCTAGCTGAAATGGTGGAGATATCTTGAAATACGAAACACTATAATCGTAAAAAGAGATTTTGAGAAAAACACGAAACAAGTTTACGAAATGGAAAACGAAGAAAAGAAATATAATAATAGCTAATAGAAAGAAATACAATAATAGTACATCATAGGTTTTTCGGAACTATTTTTACGTACTCGAAAAAAGCTATACTCGTCCACCTCTGATTTATATATAGTAGAAAATACATAAATACATTTAATAACGACAATACATAAATATAACAAAATGAGAGACAAGAAGAGTTGGTAGATGAGTAGCCATTATAGGGACTCCGACGTGTGACACAAACAGACGAGACTTTTTAGCTTTCCATTGCGACGCCATTTTAATAGATTCAAGAAAACCAACTTTCATGTTGTGAGGAATACCTAATTGTTGAAGTTTATTGTCGATCTTCAGTATTGTATTTTTGTCTATGCGCGAACACCATCGATTAATTAAAGACGGAATATGACCCAAACACACAAGATGTATACAGTCATAAATGATCTGTGTAGGATAATTAAATATTTGAAGCAAAGATGCTAGACGTTTTATTCGATCCACAGCTACTTCTTCACCACCAGTTGATTTGCGCACTTCTCGAGCTGCTTTGAGATAACCGACATGTGTACGAGCTCTGAGATCATTGTTTGCATATGGATAAAGAACTTTATTATATCCTGCATCCCAAATTCCTACAAACATATTCAAAAATCCAACGTAGTTGAGATAAAAGTTGAAGAGCGATCGCCCCAGAGAACTGAAAATGATCATGTTTCGCTTTCATCATGCACTAATTTTATTGACGATGATGTTGATTGGATCAGTGAAAATGAATATGACGATGACATACGTCCACTTTACAATGGTTCCAATTAGAAATACATACTACGGCTTTCGCATTATACGAAAGGACGCGAAACATTTCGCCGGCTCATCTCTAATCCTACCCGACTACTTTCATTGTTTTGAATTTTTACATTGAAACATTACGGAGGTTTTCACCCAAAACTGAAAATCAAGTAAAGATTTTGAATTACACATCAGTCGACTCATTTTTTGATCCTGATTCCGAGTATGATATTTTTATTGCTCAAAAGCTGACTTCACATCATCCAACGTAGTTGAGATGAAGCTTTCGACCCCTAGAATCAATCCCAGAGGTCGCTCATAGTAATTTATCCGATTCCACATAGTCCACTACCTATGCCATACCATTGCCGTCCAGTCAAGTGGAAATGATGTTTTCCACCAACAGGAGTGACCGTAGAGGTCGCTCATAGTCATTTATCGCATACCGCATAGTCGACTACCCACTCCACATGGCTTTCATTCATCGTAGTTGGAATAAAAGCTGAAGAAAGATCCCCCCAGAGAACTGAAAATGATCATGTTTCGCTTTCATCATGTACTAATTATACTGACGATGATGTTAATTGGATCAGTGAAAATGAATATGAAGATGACACACGTCTACTTTATAATGGTTCTTCAGTTAGTGTTACCCATGCTTTCCGTATTACCGATTTTTACTTAAATATAAACTTAGACCAACAGAAGGTTACCAGTTTGCTGCGTCTGATAAAGTCTTTATTACCAAAGCGAAACATGTTGCCGTCCACATGGAAAGGTATGAACAAACCACTGCACCATGCCTCATCAACTTCGACTACTTTTCTTTGTGGTGTTTGTTATCACTTATGAGACAGTGCACGATAACCACGAACTAACTTGCTCAACGTCATGTGTACGAGCTCTGAGATCATTGTTTGCGTATGGATAAAGAACTTTATTATATCCTGCATCCCAAATTCCTAAAAACATATTTAAAAATCTGAATTATTAAATTAAAAAGATGGATAACTTCAGTTTTATCAACAGAACTACGAAAAAAGTTCGTTTATGTTCAACAAATAAATCATAAAAAATTATTTATTTTGATATAGTAAAATTTAGGTGTGTTTTTATCAATCAAATGAATAAAAAACATGAGATTTGTATCGTTGATTGTGACAGAAATTAAACATTAAACTTTTCCGCAGAACCTGTATGTTTCAGCAGAAAGTCTCATTCATATTGCGCAATTCTTAAAAAGTTAAATGCTAAGGGATATTTTTGTATTAAAATAAATATTACAGCAGTTTTATTATCTGTAAGAAAAAAGCGAATAGTTTAAACGGCAGAAACACAGACAACCTACCCCTACTACAACAAAACGTGCAAGCCAAGTAACCGCTGTCCGCAAATTGCCTCCCACACCATACTGGATGATCGGGTTCGAAACGGTATCGTTTCTGTCCTTGACTGAACTGTGGGCGTTGTTGTGTTGGTAAACAGGATCGTGGTAACTGTTGTTCAGATGATTGTGGAACAGATTTTCGTTGTCGCTGTTGTCGCGTTCCTTTTCCGGCGATCATCCAGTATGGTATGGGAGGCAACTTGCGCACAGCTCTCTCATCGAAACATTTGGTGAAACCCAGCCTTTTTCCAACCCGACACAACATCAAATTTCAATAGTTACACCCGGATCGACATCCAGGAACAATCGTCACGACCAACAGTGCAACAACAGCAAATCAACACGCTGCGTTTTAACCGTGTACCACCACCACAGCCACGGATACCATCAAGTACATATACACTCAATCGTTTCTAACCATTTATTGACAATTATCAGTGTTAGGTTCACACTGAACCACCTCCTACTACCGACGTACATGTTCCTTCACCTTCAGTTACATTAGACTCACAGCCACAACAGGTCCGAACACGAACACGAACATTCTCGTCCAGCACACATCCGCAACGTGGTTGGGATCAACAGAGAGGTATTTTCCCACTGCAGCGAATACAACCGTGGCAGAAACCATACCAACACCAACCCCAACGTCGAGAACTGGCAGTTACGATCTTCTCCGATTCGACATGTAAACGAATTAGAACAAGCGATTTCTTCAAGCCCTACGCACACATCCTCATCCGCCACCATCCATCATCATCCAAGAGTATAACCGAATGTTAGATAAAGCAGCATCGGAATTGGGCTTCGAAACAGCAACAACAGCAGCAGAGGACTTGTAGGAGGGGCTTCATATGAGAACACAGACACAGAGTAAACTCGTACAGACATTTCTTAATGTTTTTTGTAATTTTGTTTGTTTCAATTTCATAGTGGACCATACGTTATGGGAACATATCACCCCTGTAATCCTGTCCGATCTTCCGACCCCGCTTAAGGATATTTTTTCAATCAGCAAAAGCTCCGAGGAGGCTTCAAACCCACTCCTTCATCTTTTCATATACTCATTTTTATACCGGTATTATCACGCGATGCAACAACTTGCAGAAACGTTTGTTGCGGAAGATCGCCCAAAATCACCGCCCAAGGAACTCCTGGCCGAGCTAGGCGGCACTTAGTCATCAAGTAGCCTCATCACTCTTGCTACTAATTATTCAATTTTCCAAAAACAAGCCGTGTGTTCCGGACACATTTCTCTATCTGCTCGGAAAATTTGAGAAACATTTGTCAAAATTCACTGAGCACGCTATGCTGAAAAAGTACGTTTCTATAGTGCATTGCGTCTTATGCAATACATCTGGTGCATGTCGCAAAACTTGTGCCAATTCGAAATGCACAACATCCTTTCGACAACGTGGAAGTACAGAAATTATCGAGATTGTTCGTTTTGATATTCGAGCTCAAACAGAATTGATTATGACCCGAAATGCTGCATTTATAAATAAATCACATCTTTTTCCTCGAAGTGATATTTGTTTTGGAGAACAATATCAGTATATGTCGCACACGAATAGTAATAAAATCACTTTGATCGTGTATTCGGATGGAGCTCCTCTTGTTCGTTCATCAGAAGTCAATTTGGCCATGTTTTGCGTCGATCACAGAACTCCCTCCTCCGATGAGGGAGTTTCAATCAAGTATTATTATTCTTGCACCGTGCGCGTCGAAAAAGAAGCGAGATGTTAATATTTTCGTGGAACAAACTGTTAATGATCTTCATCGCCTTTAAGATATTGGTTACTTAGGAGGCCCTGCACGATAGAAACGTACTTTTTCAGCGTAGCGTGCTCAATGAACTTTGACAAATGTTTCTCAAATTTTCCGAATTTTACACATAGACAAAACGTCATCGCCCGTTTTGCAAAGAAGTTTTTGCAAAAGAGGATGGTCCACTTAAAGGGCCCTCTACGGTTTCGTGAAGTAGACCCAGAGTACTACCATGAGCCGTCGTCGAATTTTTGGGAAAATGATGGAAAACACTCGGGGGCCTCTTGTCAAAAATGGTCAGCGCACCTCAGAAAAACCTGAAAATTTTAAAACCCATTGAATTATAACGTAAGGGAAGTTAGCAGAAGATTTCTATATTTCCGCCTAACGTTTTCTATTAAAGCTGTGTCATCTCTGGAAATACGTGTGCCAGATAGAACTCAATGAGCTCTATCGATTGGTGAAATCAGTTTTCCAGAATATAGTTTATTTCGCTTTGAAAATGCAAAATATCTGTTTTTGTGAACGAGAGGAAGGTTCAAACTTTTGTATTTTCGCCTAACGTTTTCCATTAAAGCTTCGCCATCTCTGGAAATAAGTGTGCCAGACAGAACTGAGTGAGCCTTAACGATTAGTGAAATCAGTTTTCGAATGCTAGTTTAGGCGAAAATACAAAACTCTGAGCCTTCTTCTGGTTCATAAAAACAGGTATTTTGCATTTTTTCAAAGCAAAATAAACTGTATTTTGGAAAACTGATTTCAACAATCGATAGAGCTCATCGAATTCTATCTGGCACACGTATTTCCAGAGATGGCACAGCTGTAATAGAAAACGTTAGGCGGATATATAGAAATCTGCTGCTAACTTCCCTTACGTTGAGTTATACGTCATTCGACGCAGAATTTCATTCTGCAGCTGAGTATGTATAAATGAAGCTTCCACAGTACAAAGGAAGGAGAAAAACACCAGAAACTTCAGATTTTCCAAGCTTTTCGGAAAACAATTTTAGAGAGTTATCTTGAAATTCGATCACTTCCGTCAACTAAAAGATTTCTCTGATTTAATAGCTTGATGCAAAATTCAATTTTCCATCGATCTGCGAAAACCGCAGATTTTTAACATTAAATTTCGATTTTTCAGAGATATTTTTCCGAAGCCCCGAATATTTCGCTTTGGAAACTTTTTCGAAAAATAATGAGACATGGACTAGAAAGAGAATTTTACGCGGATTCCAAATATCACCTGATTCTTGAACGCTGACCTTTCCTTCACTCTGTGGTCATAATTCTTTTTTACCAACTTTTACAAAATTGTAAAAGTCTTGAGTTAAACTATGAGGACAATGTCTTGTAAAGGTTCACATACTTCTTCATTGCTCTTGGAAAACAGAAAGTTTGGTAATAAATCAATTCTACTAAAATCAAAATGTGCGAACTGCGTTGAAAAAATGAACAGAAGTGCGAGGATTTTGTATGCTGGTATGTCAGTAAATAGCAACTCTTGTTTTCCTCTCTTTTTCTCCTTCTTAATATTCTTAATACACTATTTATAACAAAGAATAAATCACATATGAAGATGATATGACCTTCAGTCATTAAATAGCTGAACATATGTCTGATTATGTTTCGAAATTGACAATAAATATAGTTCACTGAATAATCATTCATAGCAGATGGATAAACTTTATAATTTCTACACTCGTGATAATATTTGACAGAATTTCTAAGACAATTTGTTCGAAATTGTGAGACATTTAACGATTTTAATAATTACAAATTTTTTGGCATATAAGCCTCTTCTCATTCTTTCTTTTATAAAACATAATGTCAACAACACTTATTATTCATTCAGCACATAAATTGCTGTAGCTTTATAGCAAATTATTTTTCTTTTTCATCAATAGTAACCTGTGCGTAAATAATTCTTTCTTACAATAGAATCCAAACAATTTAAAGTGTATTTGAAAGAGGACAGAAAATGCTACAAAAAATGTCAAATGTCAAAACTTGGCGAAATATTTTTTACAAAAACGTTTTGTTTTTAATTTTGTCAACGTAGTTTTTGGGCACCCTGTAAGAACTGATATTTCGTTAGGCGCGTTCATTTGGATGCCCCTTGGAAACATTTTCGCAAAAAAACGTTTGCTCATTAAATGAACTTTACTCAGAGTATTTTCATTATTCCATCTCGTTCACCTACAGCAAGTATTAACTATTCTATGTCATTCGATAGGGGAGTTCACAAGCTACAAAATTCTATTTAAAATATTTAGAAGAAAATGTAACTGACTAGTGTAAGATTCGAAATACTCGGTAGTATCTCAGCAAACCGGTAAGTCAACATCGTTCATGTTTATGATATCCATTTATTTTCTCGTTAACCACTCTACTTTATATACCGTTCGATAGTGGATGTTACATGCTACAAAATGAGCCATAACACATAGTTTCAAAAGTTTACCTTTTGTAGGTATGTTGGACAAATACTTGCCAGATATCTCGAGTTTGTTTCGACAATGGCACATAAAAATGATTATAGTTTCTTCTACAAACAGAGATTAGGTATCGTTTCTATAGAGTAAGACGCAGAATTGAAAGAGCTACAAAATGAAGTGTAACGTAGTTTTTCCTATCATAATTTTGATAGATTTAAAGTCAAAATATCCAACGAATGGAGTAATTTCGACCTACTGTAAAACGGTGAATGAGGGGATCCGAGATGGTTATGATATGGAAAGATGCAGAATTTAACGTGCTTCAATTGAAAATCCATCAGTTTTTATAAAAAGTATGCCGTCAAGCATTTATTACATATAAGAATAGTCAAGACATATCTGTCCGTCTGTCTGTCCGGAACGCTCAACATATATACATAAGAATAAGAATTAAGAATAAGAATAAGAATATACACATATCTGTCCTTCTGTCCGGAACGCTCAACATAGAAAATTTTTACAACATATATAAATGCTGGGCTTCCGGGGTTTTCCACGGGTTATTTCTAGTATACTGAATAGTAAACGACTGTCACGACTTTTATTCACCATGGCTTTCAAAACTATTGAACCAAGCTTATTTTCAGTTTTTCTTTTTTAGAAGATAATAGCTACAATGAATCTGAGGAAAGATTTGAGTAGTTAGTGAAGTTTCCAACCTGGTCTACGGCAGATAAAGGTTTCTAAGGCTCAGATCTTTGGAGAACCCAAACCTCAGAAAACTAAGTTCAATTTGAACTTAGAAACTTAAGTTCGAATTTGAGTGATCACGTTTTTTGTAACAGCTTCCTCGTGCACAAAGATTCTTGAGCAAACCAAGACGCCTCTAACGAGGGAACCTATGGAGATGAAGCACTCCGATTTCGTTCGTTCTTGCGTGGATCGATAGGGCATGTGGAGTGGGTAAAAAGCCTGA